ATTGTTTTGAAAATATTTTCTAAATACATTTTCAAGCCAACGTACATTTTTTTACTGTCCTGGTACTAATTTAAATTAAAGTGTAACTGCCTAGGTTCTCTATCTTGAAACGCCATGAAAGTACCATTAATTATTACTATTTATCTTGAACAGGAGATGGCGGTACAAGCTTGCAACCTAATACTCTCAATATAGTAGCATTGTGGCAAACATTCAATGAGAATAGCTGGCTGATGTGCCTTCAGAATTCCAACTAATGTAAAAATAGATGTGTTATTTTTCTCTTCTGCTGACATGAAGATCCATGCATGGTTAAAATCAAACACACTCAAAAGTAATTTTGACTCTATGTTCTAGTCATATTAATATGTCTGATGTTAGGACTGCACTTTTATTGCTACTATTAATGAAACAATGTTTTAGAAGTTGAGAATAAATTTCATTTATATTATTTTTTTAATGTTTTATTATTTGCACATTATAAATTTTCACAAATTGGGTACTAATGATTTTTTTCACAAGAATTGGAAAGTAACAGACAATTTGCACAGAAAACCTGCCAAAAGTATCAAGAAAGAATTTGTAGATAGGAAGTTATAATAACTCTTAACATTTAAACAGTACATTGTTCACAGTTCACAATTAACAATTCAATAAGCTGATGTAACACTTATATTATCCTTACCTTCAAAAGAGTTTTTGTTCGGCCGGGAGAAAGACTGCAAGACATTTCCAGAATATCTGACTGATAGATTTTGGTCACTATGAAACAGGATACACTAATTATCAACAGTCTGTACAAATAGTATAACAGAGTTCACCAACCCTGAAACATTCTACTGAAACTTTTACAAAGCACCTAAATGTTTCTACACAGGAATTTAGAAATTCAACAAAGAAATATATTTTATATAAAAAAAGTCAAACCTTGTTCCTCTTTTCTCTCACCCCTCCCACCCTCTACTATAACTGGCAATACAGAACAGAAACATCAAGAGAACATATCCAACTAAAGAAAAGTTAAATGGAAAAAAGGGAAGCAACAATATTTTACATGATTATAATCTTAGTACTTTTACAAAACACAACCTCATTATTCTATTTTGAATATCTCAAATACTGCCATTTAAATATAAGTAATGTTACACATGGCTCTTAATAAAATGTGTTAAAAAGTTTCCCCCCCTCAAATACAGGAAATCTACATAATGTCCATAATAAAGATTTGATAAATTAATAAACAAATATTTTCATTTGACAATTTGTATCTTGATAATCAAATATAAATAGAATACCAATGCAAGCAATTCTATATACTAGACAATTAGTTTTGTATTTCTCTTCTCCCAAGCTTTAAATTGCCAACAGAACTGGAATACCACAAAGTCTATTATGTTAAAAAATGTATTTTATTTTAAAGGATAAAATTTCTGGGAGAGTGTTTTGTACTATGGTATCGTTATATAACAATATATATGTATTTTGTATAATCACAAATATATTTTTAATATCATTACCTGCAGAAAATGTTTTCTTTTGGAGTGTTGGGGTCAACTGGGCTGTTTCCTTCAGTAACTGGTGAATCCAAATTAGCAGATGCATTGCTGGTATGATCACTGCTTTCATAGCCACATTCAGTCCTTTGTGTCTGCCAATTATCAGGATGAACCTTTCTCTCTATAAATCCTGTTGTTTTTTCTCTATTTCCTTTCTTTCCCAAATCCAGTGAATTCTGGCTTCCTGCTTGTTTTGCTTCATCTTCATAGATAGTCATCAGACCCTTCTGACTCTGATTTTCTTTCGGGTAGTTGACTGAACTCTGCTCCTTTTCATGTTTTGGTTTATTGCTTGCATTTAGCTTGCATTTTGAACTATGCTCTCTTTTCTCTGAATCAGTAAAGATGCTATCAACATTCAGTGTTTCTCGCATGGGTTTCCAGCCTCTGCTTCGACTTCTGCTGCTACTGATACTTCCTTTGTCTTTGGAATCTTGGCTACTATCTGTTTCATAACCAGCTGTGTGGTCAGTTTTCATACGGTTCATCTTCTCCCCATCTTCTGTTTTATTTGAGCTGAATGTCTGTACAGTGGGTCTAACTTGATTGTGCACCTTTTCATGTCGATAAGATCCTCTCCCTTGACTACTATATAAACGTTCATTGGAATGATGCCTAAATCCAGTTCCAGAAGGTGGTGATCCTGGCTTAAGATTAGTATGTATTTCTCCTGATAGATCTTAAACAAAGTACCAAAACAAATTATTTATAGTATTCAACTTTATTCTAACTTTATATTGTATAAAATATCTTTTAGTTCCTTAGAATTTCAAGGCAAACTTAGATAGGTTTGGTGTATTTGGGAGGAATTAGCCAGAGGAAAATTCTGTTACCTTTTTGTTTTCCAGATTCTTTCCTTGATCCTCTGTCAGAGTTTTTTCTTAATGATGATGGGTAATTTTTCATCTCAGCTGCCTTTTGAGCACATTCTCTGGAAAGATCTTTTGCTTTTTCCCTATGATCATTATGTCCCAATTTACCTGCAGCAATAAATGCAATTATGCTGTACACCTTCACAGTAATGGAACAGACAAAAAGATAATCTGATTCAGATTTCCCTAAATTTTTTGGATAGACCAACAAAAGAAAATAACTTCAGCAAATATAAAGAAGTTTATCTCCTGCAACATATAATGCTTAGCAGATTACAATCATATTATTAAAAAAAGCAGTGGGTTAGTATCCTGTATTTGGGAGGAATTCTCTAATTTTTCTTCAGTGGTATTAGAAAAATGTTGGATCTCTGAGGTTTCTTTTTTTTTCTGAAGAAGGTGCTGAAAATGATAAATCTTAAGAAGCAGCATATATAGGTTCATTTTCATACCTTCCCTTTTCCAAAGTTTAATCAGATCAGGAATGAGGAAAGCAACAATAAGACTGCTCCCAGGAGAAAGTAGAAACTATATTCTAGATTCTGTGATAAGAACTCAATAATTCTAAAAAAACCCCATTCATTTTTAAATATATTATCCCTCCATACTCAACCAGATTTGGAATAACCAGATTACTTGAAACTACAGGTAGTCCTCAACTTACAACCACAATTGGGACCAGAATTTCCACTGCTATGCAAGGTGGTTAATTAAATGAGTCACGTCCAATTTTTCGACTTTTTTTTTATCATGGTTGTTAATCACTACAGTTGATAAGTGAATCATTCAGTCATTAAGCGAATCTGGCTTCCCCACTGACTTTGCTTATTGGAAGCCAGATGGGAAGGTCGCAAATGGTGATCATATGACCTCAAGATGCTGAAATTATTGCAGATACATGCTGGTTGCCAAGTGCCCAAATTTTGATCACATGACTATGGGGATGCAGCAATGGTCATAATGTGAGGACCAGTTCTAAGTCATTTTTTTCAGTGCCATTGTAATGTTGAATGGTCGCTAAATGAATGGTTGTAAGTCGGGAACTACTTGTACAGTAATTTCAAATATTGTTTTTGATTCATTTGTTTCATTGGGTTCTCTTTATGTGGAGAACATATTATGTTTTAGGTCATATTTATGTAGAAATATTGAAACATCAAAAGATATTTGATTCACAAAATTTGAGCACCGCTGTAACATGGTAGTTTGCTAAACATTTTATATAATTAGCTTATATAATGTTTAATTACTTGTAGTAGGTAACATTTTTAAGAGCAAAACAAAATTATGTATGATTAACCTTGCAATTAAGCTAGTTATAATTCAACCCAGTATTTTTTAAAAAAAGTCTATGATACATACTCGACCCTCTGACATTAGTAGGTTGAGAAAAGTTCCTAGTAAAGGCAGAGTTTTCTAGCTGCACTTTTTTACTCTTCTGGTTAGAAGTTTCTTCAAATCCATTCTCCTTTACATAATCTGATTTAAGAAAAGTAGGTTTCTCAAACCCTAGAAAAAAGAAATGTTAAAAAACATTACTTTTAAGAAGAAGACATTTACTCAGTTTATCTTTGAAATTGGTTTTCCAATGAATAACCTGCCTAACAAATTAAAAATAAATGCCTGAATAAAAGTTACAGTGGGCACACTACAGTTTAAATTTAATAGGAAAAATATTTGAAGAATGATCAAACTTCACCCTTTACTAACAAATAAATTCATAGTAAAATTCCATTTCAGACTAAAAAAATCCACATTTTAAAAATTTTTAGTTATTGATCAAAAGAAAAAAATAACCAAGCAAGAAAACAACTAAGCTAAGAGAGTAAGAAGGACTCCACAATTCAACAATGAGCTACATGTATTCTCTGATAGAAGTCTAGTATCTGATTTTTGGTTAAAAAAAATAATCCTGTATCTATTTTGCATGTAATGTATTACTCCATCCAATGTGAAAAATTAAATATGTCTCAGACTCAATTTATTAATTTCCTAATAACTAAAGATCCCACAACTTTCCTATCCCTAGCACTGACCTCAAAAATTGAGCATTAATACAAGGACACCAAAGTTCATTCAATCAATAGCCTAAGCTTATTAGCCTTTCAGAAAGTTCTTAAAACATTTTTTTAGCAGCCTTAGGGATCCCATGGGAACAGGGATGCTCTAAAGTGGTTATATTATATTTAGGATGTTGGTCTATTCTTTGTTGTATTTATGGTGATTTTTTAAAAATGGCCGTATATACTTGTTTTAAAGTGTTTATTATATGCCATCAAAAGTCATGTTTGTGAGATGGTTCACTATATAAATTTGCCAAATAAAATAAAAATAAACATGTGGTCCACTGGAAAATTTTAGGCATCTCTACCCCAACTTGCCACACAGTCAGTCTGAGAATAAAAACTAGGAAAGACTTTTATGTATAATGAGTGGAAAAAAAGGTGAATTATGAATATAATATTGGCAGGCCAACTTTCAGTTTATGCCCACCATATTAAGCATCTCTTCATCTTACTAAATAAATATGAAGTTGTAAATATTCAAATTTCTATTACCAAATTCTTCTCCATTTCCTGTAGAGGCTTTATAATGCGACCAATGAATTATATGCTGCAGTGCATCTTCTGTTGATACTGGTGTACCATCTGGGTTTGCATAAAATAGTAGCAATGGCTGAAAGTGACACCGGATGCACTTGGTTACCACATCTTTCCATTTTGTTCCAACCTAAAAGAAAAAAGTAATCATTTAATTCAGTAAAGAAAAAGTGGCAATCTAATTAAAAATAAACTGGTATACCTTCAAACAAATCAAAACGTCTTTAAATAATTTAGACATGTGAAAAATAACTCTTTTGTGTAATGCATGCTAGTGAAGCAGCAAATTCCCTGCATGACTTAGAACAAAAACTAAATCTTTCATCTTACATCATATGCATGATTAGAAAATATTCTGACAGCCTTAATTTTGATATCAAGACATTTACTTTATGTCTTGATATCAAAATTAAGGATGGCAGAATGTTATATAAAGTATCTTTAATTATTTTTAGGAGCTATCTGGATGCCTCTATATAAAATGCAATATCATAACTTACCTCTTTAACATTAGCATCATCAAATAACACCCATTTACAACTCTTGGTATGAAAGGCGAAGGCACAATAATGTCTGCTTGCATAGCATATCATCCCCACAAGAAAAAGCTCACTGTTTTTGGCATGTTCATCAGTAACCCTATAGAACAACTGTAAAAAACGATAGATAGGCTAGTAAGAAATAGAGCTGAGGATAAATTACAACAATTTTACATAGCCAGATTGAAAGAGTTCATCCAGTTTATTTACTAAAGCATATAAGATAAAGCATCTGAATTCTTTTACATCAGCATACTGTAATCTTAGAGATGCCTTTTTCAGAATAAATCGTTATACAACTGATTCCCTCTTTAGAAGTTTTATGTTCTACTTGAGTCATCTATTATCATTTAAATCAATGGCCTAAGACTTCCTGGCTGTAAGTAGGAATCACCAATGAATAGTTTCTAGAAATTAAAAAAGTACCTTGACTTTTCAGAATATACCTTTGGATTATGTTAACTAATTTACTGAATTTTAAGTTATCTTTTAATTTTTTGTTTCTGCTGTTTTAAAACTTAAATACTTTATACATTATATAATAAATAGACATGCACATTATTGTGTATTCAGGTATACATTTGTACTATTTTGTTCTAGGACACCTGAGAAATTTTATTAGCTGAACCACATATTTTAAAGGTTGTATTTTTATTTGTTTTACACATCCAAGACTAGGTGCAACATATCTTTTAAAATAGTGGTAAATGATGAAGAATGACATTTCATGTGCAATCTAGTTATAAAGTTAAAAAAATACTTTTAGCATGGAATTCTATGTATGCTTTTCAGGGAGAAATTCCAACTTCATTTGATTGAGTTTCTTCTGAGAATAGGATTCTAGTATTAGACAAAACAGAGAACTCTGTCTGTTCTTAGTAATTTCAAAGTTATTTTAATATGTTGAGAGACACAGAAAATTAAATATATTAATATGTTCAATACCCCTGGAAGATAAAGTTGTGTTGCCAGATTTCGGATGACATCTTCTGTTAGGTCAGATTGTTCAGAATCCCAAACTAATCCAATAGTAACTATTTCTGGAGAATTCATTAGAACACGACGAATTTTAATTTTTTGGCCACAGTTGCTCTACAAAAAAAAAAAAAAAAAAGACGGGACAAATAGTATGATCTAGATGCTTTTGAATGTCAAGATCTTTATATAAACCACATAAAATTCACTTAGATGACTATGTTTTATAATAGACAATATCTCCAATTTATTCACATCCCAAATTCCATTATTTCTGATCTAAATGGTCAGTTATAAACTTAAATATGTTATCAATAATGCTGCAATTCATCTGAGTTTCTTACCACTTTTTAAAAAAAGTAGGTTTCTTTAGAGACTTAAACAAATTATTGTAATTTTATTTTTTGGTCACTGAAGTGTTTAATTGCAATTAATTGTTTTGTGTATCAATAAGCTATATGATTTTTACTAAAAATGTGCACATCACCATTGTCATTTTAAATTCTCCAAAATGACAATTTTTATGCTTGATAATATAAAGACTTTCTGTATAATAAATTTTGATATATTGTTTTAAAAACAATTAACCTTTTTCAAATAGCTATTATTTTATCTGAGAGCCAAAACCAAATAATTGTTTAAGCGGTTGCTTTTCCTGAGATCTTGTCTTAATTTTGTATGCCAACATGTACTAATTTGATTTATGATTTAAGTATTTGAAGGCTACATTGACTGCCAAGACAAATTTTAAAAACTAACTTTTCACAATGTTAAAAGTTTGGATTTATCACTACAAGGGCCCCTCCCCCACCAAAATAGAAGAGCAATATTTCTTTGGTAAACTTACAGGACAGTCCCTGAAGTCATCTATAGTATTTGCAGCCTGAAGAAATTGAGCAAACATTTCTGGCTTGAGTCTTTCATTCCTTTCCACCATTCTATCAATTTCATTGCTGTAAATGAAGCAATTTGATTTAGTCTATTTTATTATTGCAATTAACAGAATGTTCTTATATTTGTTACATTTATATTCTGATTTTTACTAAGGAGTACAAGATAGCACAAAAGCACTAATTCGTCCCATTCTTCCACACAATAACCCTATGTGGTAAACTGAGATGAGATCATGACTGGCATTTGCCTAGTGAGTTTCCATGTTTGAAGGTGGGCAATTTACTGTTTACATTAAAGCTGGTGAGCAAGATTAGAAAAAAAACACAGTTATTTCTTTTACAGATTTAGATCTATTTAGGACTATGCAAATCTTACTTGATATTACAAATACAGAAAGGTACATGAAAAGAAATATGTAAATATGAATGTAAGTATTTTCAAGGATGGAAAAAACCAGATGCTTGGACCTTAAAAGCACACAGGGCACCTTAACAGGCTATGAACTGAGCTCTGGTCAAAACTTCACCAGTTTACTATTGTTCTTATGACTGGAATTTCTTAAAAAATGCTTTGGAAAAAAAATGATTTGACCATTTCTGATCATATGAGGCGAATATATCTCAATAAACTTCTCCCTTGTAATTAAAAATATTGGGCTACAATGACAAAGTAAAACATTTTGCTATAATTTCAACATTCCCTAAACATTTCATTTTTAGAAAGCATTATTTATGGGCTTAAAATCTGGCAAATGTAGTGATGTCTAAAAATTATGTTTGCTATTCCATTCCATCACAATAACTTGTTAAATGGATACATCTAGCTTACCTATAATGTCCATTCTACTTGGAAGCAGGATTACAGCTTGGACTGATGGGAAATCGTTCCATGTAGGAGAATAGGATAATTTCCTCTGCTGTGCCTTGTGAAATACTTTAGTTAAATTCTGATTTCCATCATCTGGGAGGAAGCAACTTCCTATTAGTTCAAGCTGTTATTTTAGTTCCTAAAGAAGTAAGATAATGGCTGATCTAGTAACCTTAAGGAAGATTTGATCAGACAGAAGTTCCCAACTATCACAACTTCTAAACCTTAAAACCTTTATATCTGTTGTTTTTATCTGATTGTTGTGCACCACCCACAGTTCTTTTTGTAAAATGGATGGCTAAAAAGTTTGATTAATAAATAGTAAATAAAAACCTAAGCAGACTCAGATTTACAGTGAGGGGAAAAGTATTTGATCCCCTGCTCATTTTGTATGTTTGCCCACTGACAAAGAAATGATCAGTCTATAATTTTAATGATAGTTTTATTTTAATAGTGAGAGACAGAACAACAAAAAAATCCAGAAAAACACATTTCAAAAAAGTTATAAATTGATTTGCATTTTAATGAGTGAAATAAGTATTTGACCCATTCGCAAAACATGACTTAGTACTTGGTGGCAAAACCCTTGTTGGCAATCACAGAGGTCAGACATTTCTTGTACTTGGCCGCCAGGTTTGCACACATCTCAGGAGGGATTTTGTCCCACTCCTCTTTGCAGATCCTCTCCAAGTCATTAAGGTTTCGAGGCTGACGTTTGGCAGCTCAAACCTTCAGCTCCCTCCACAGATTTTCTATGGGATTAAGGTCTGGAGATTGGCTAGGCCACTCCAGGACCTTAATGTGCTTCTTCTTGAGCCACTCCTTTGTCCCCTTGGCTGTGTGTTTTGGGTTATTGCCATGCTGGAATACCCATCCACGGCCCATTTTCAATGCCCTGGCTGAGGGAAGGAGGTTCTCACCCAAGATTTGATGATACATGGCCCCATTCATCGTCCCTTTGATGTGGTGAAGTTGTCCTGTCCCCTTAGCATAAAAACACCCCCAAAGCATAATGTTTCATCTCCATATTTGACGGGGAGATGGTGTTCTTGGTGTCACAGACAGCATTTCTCCTCCTCCTAACACGGCAACTTGAGTTGATGCCAAAGAGCTTGATTTTGGTCTCATCTGACCAACACTTTCACCTAGTTCTCCTTTGAATCATTCAGATGTTCATTGGCAAACTTCATTGGTGTTTCTTCTATTTGCAAATAATCACACCAACCGTTGTTGTCTTCTAACCAAGCTGTTTGGCGATAATCTAGTAGCCCATTTCAGCCTTGTGTAGGTCTATAATCTTGTCCCTGACATCCTTGGACAGCTCTTTGGTCTTGGCCATGGTGGAGAGTTTGGAATCTGATTGTTTCTGGGGATAGGTGTCTTTTATACTGGTAACAAGCTGAGATTAGGAATACTCTCTTTAAGAAAGTGTTCCTAATTTCAGCTTGTTACCCGTATAAAAGACACCTGGGAGCCAGAAATTTTGCTGATTGATAGGGGATCAAATACTTATTTCACTCATTAAAATGCAAATCAATTTATAACTTTTTTCCTGGATTTTTTTGTTGTTCTATTAAAATAAACCTACCATTAAAATTATGGACTGATCATTTCTTTGTCAGTGGGCAAACATACAAAATCAACAGAGATCAAATACTTTTTTCCCTCACTGTAATTACTACTTCAATGAAGGACTACCAGAAAATCCTAATGCTGTAATGCCAGACACTTTGAAAAACATCCAAGAAAGCAATTACAAACCATTTCTGCACAGTTGTGAAAAAAATTATGTAGACTTGTCCATCAAGTCCCCAGAAGTTGAGCTTGTAATATATGTTATTGTGTTCAATTCATCAGTGTTTTTATCAATAGAATATCACCTAATGCTATTTACAATAGATGTTTCATTCTCATTTGACAACAAATACAATGGAATTTTTAGAACATAAATATCTCTCTCTCCTAGGAACTGACTACACTTTCGGATGTGAATATTCTTCAGTTTTAATTTGATAAAGAGGTAATTGGGTCATTAAAACTAGTATCTTTGCTCTAAGCCATGTCTCACTATTTATTACTCAAATTTAAAATTGTTAACTTATGAGAATAATGGAGGAAAAAAGACAAAGCATAACAAAAATACATTTCCTTACCATAATGCTGTTGTTGAAATGTAACGTACAAATTCTGTAAAAGGCAAAGGGTCTGAGGATGCCCCACAAGTAGAACATACACGCTATAAATAAAAGAAAGGTTTTTTTAATTTTTAGAAGTACCGGTAATGTTAAATGTTAAATACTGTAAGTAAAATAAATATGAGTAAATATCTTACCTGTTCATATAATGTCATAGCAAACTTTTGATGTGTTATGCAGGATTTAGAAGTGCACATATCTGTTCCATTGCTTGGTACTATGTGATAGTGAATTCTCTCAAGGATATTTTCCTAAACAAGTAACGGTTTTATTTTAATCATGATAATATGTCATCAAGTTGGTATTGACTATAAGAGGCCTCATATGCAAACATTATGTCGCCAACCTGCTCTTCACGCAATACATTTCACCAGCTGAACCTTCAAAATGGCTTGTATATATGTTTCAATATGGTTATTTTTATCTCACAAGAACAATTTCTGTTTCATTCTGAAATAAACCAGGCTCCTTTGCGCTATGTTCCTATGCTCAGAATGAAGGGACAATAGTGACTGGGCAAAAAATCCCCATTGTATTCAGAATTATAATCTTTGTATCAAATGAAATGATTACCAAATTCTATATAACTGAGTATATACAATAGCTCAAACAAATATTTTTGTATTACAAATTACCTTTATTCTCAGTCTTTTAAATAAAAAATTATCATTGTTGTTATAGTCCTTTTCAGAATCCCAAAGCATACTGCCCTAAACTGATTTTTCTGACTTTTCACTGAAATATTGAATATGGCTCTTCAGCCAGAAGAAGCCAAGAATCAAAACAATACCTAAAATAAATGTTAAATATTGTAATATCATACTTACAAAACATTCTGCTGCATCATCCATAAAACCAAGTCGAAATCGCTGTTCATCTTTAAAACTTTCAGCCAAGGCATGCCTCATGTTATTTGATGGGAGAGCCTTTTCTCGACTGTGTTGGAATTGGGAAAATATTTTCTGGAAATCAATAGCAATATTTTATCTATTAAATGATTGGGAACAGTATAGTGTACTTGAATACATCAAAACAAAGTCCAGCATTTGGTAGCATTGAGAACTTGTGATTCTCCAGATGCCACTGAACTAGAATGAAGATTTTTCACTATTAGCTGGCTAAGACTTCTGGAAGTTGACCTTCAGCAACTAAAAGGCAAATTGTTCCCTATACGGTATAGAACACTGTTCTGTAGCAATGGCTATTTTGAACACAATGCAGGTATCCAATACACAATACCATTTACTCATGATATGCCATAATTCACTTCTGCTTTGTTCCTCCTACAAGTTGATAGGTTAAAAAGAAGCGAAAATCTAAATCCTTGGCGGTTTACAATATGCTTGAATTGGAATCCTGCTGTTTTCTCTGCTATCAAATCTCATTAGTAAGCCAGGAATCTAGAATCTTGGCATAATCTGTATGAAATACACAATCATGAGCCATGGTGGCTTAGTGGTTAGAATGCAGTATTGCAGGATAACTCTATCCATTGCCTTCCATCCTTCCGAGGTCAGTAAAACGAGGACCCAGATTGTTGGAAGCAAAATGCTGATTTGTAAGCTGCTAAGAAAATGCTGTAAAGCACTTTGAAGCAGTATATAAGTCTATGTGCTATTGCTATAATTGTGCTTATTCCATTCAAATAAGAGAGAATTATATATGAAGTGGACTATCATGTTGTTATCATCATTAGAAATATATATTAAAATGTTTTCCACCAAGAGAATTTTCTTGAGCTCATTGAAAATCAGAAAGGTTGAGCCAGAATGGCAACACAGTTTGCTTCTGTTACAATTATGAGGAAATCATAAAAGGCTAAAAGATCAACACTGAGTATACTATAACAATTCCCACAATGGCTAACCATGGCATGAAAGCTGTTATCTTTACCCTCTCTTTAGCAACTGGTGTACTCATTCTGAGCATGGGTTCTACATGAGAATAGCAACAAAATAAGGCAATATAATATTCCTAGTAGTTAAATGAAAAACAGGTATCCAACAAGTACACTTGTTTTTCTTATCTAATTATTTTCATTTACTAAGTTACATCTGTTTTAGACAAAGAGCACACAATTTGTATCCCTTAAGTCAATTCATACAGTTCTCAACCCAATTTCAAAACACCATACAAAGAATCAACACAGATATCTGCCACTGATTATCTTTTAGTTGGGGGAAATAAAGAGTATCATAAAAAATATAGATGTTCTAATCAATTTCACAATGCTACCATTATTATATGGTAATCAACAAATTATAACAGAAAGAATAAGTCCTTTCAAAGAAAAAAAAATGCCCATTACTGCTTTATGTACAGAATATTGATCAAAACCAATTAAAACAATTAACAAATCCTACTTTTAAGGTTTTTTTCTACAATTTAACTTATTAGATATGTGTCAATGAACCAGAGATTTTCATGAATATTTGCCAAAATTAATTTTTATTCATACAAGGTAAATAAAAAAATTATAAGGTTACCTTCAAAGCACAAAATATGCAGGCATCACCTTGACAAACATGTCCTGTAAGACCTCTTAAACTTCTACGGAATATATCAAGTTGCCATAAAACCTACAAAGAAGAAAAAACTAACATCCATTTTTGCCAAAGATTTAGGTCAATGTCTACAATTGCTATTTTTTGCTACAGATACACCAAGATAACATGAAACACTACATTTACATTGCTTCTGTGGGGATGCTCTTAACTTTAGTGGAACCTGCAATAATTTTGAATAGATATTAAATGATAATCAATTGTTTCCTATCCAACTTGTTTTCTTTCATTCAGTCCATTATTGTTTAAACCAATGTATAATTTTATGCAATATTTTACCTAGTAATTTTCTTGGATTGTTATGGTTATTCATACAGGATATAGTTAGATGTATATATTATATATGTGTGTGTGTATACTGTACGTGTATATATATATTATATGTATATATAATTGTATATATCATAGTACTCATACATTTAGTTAATCATAATCATTTCACTGAACATAAAAATAATGAACACAAACACTGTTACAGTTATTGTTATATTCATATATCATATTGAAGCAACATTCTTCAGAACTATGATTTAAAAAAGAATGGGCATTACTTGATCACTTCATATTTGAAAATAATTAATCCCATCGTTTCATACAGTATTTTGTACTGCTCGAAAGTAGAAACATTAGTTAAGCAGTTTTTTAACCTAAGAACATATTGCAGATTTGGCTTGGTAGAGCAAAAATAAACCAGAGATTCCATTTAACAAAAAAACTTGGCACTACTTCCTGCTAGGAACAAATATGTAGTACATGAGGATATATTAACTCTAAATTATGATTCATATCAAATAACCATATATGCAGTCATTTCATATTTAAAACAAGAAAATAGATTTAATTTTAACTATGTAGTATTTCAGAAACAATCCCAATTATTAAATATATTTCATAAGCATCCATCAGACCATGTAATTCTTTCCATGTACAAATGTTAAATTGTCATATTTTAACCCAGTACAGAAGGAAATCTACATGTAAGAAGAAACACGCTTAAAACACTTAAGGAAACCCTTGCCAGCTTAGTCAGATGTACTGTAAATGCCTTCAGGGCAATGTATACCGATTATACACTTCATTCACATATATTCAGTAAAACTCCCCTTTGGATTTTAATATTAAAAGGCTTTAATAAACATAAGTTTGACAGTATTATGATATGAACCATAAATAATTCTGATAGTGAACTTTAGAAATTCTAATCCACTCAATTTTATTTTGTAAAATAACAATATTTTGCTATGAAAGAAAGCCATCGTTACTGGATCAATCATTGTAATCACCTTTGTTTCCCACTAACTAACATGAGGAGAAATTTAAGAGGAGGAGACAGATATGGAACTTTTCAAGAAGAGTTTAGAAAAATATATGGGTAGTAATAAAATACAAAGAATTTCAATTGGAGCATCTGAAGTCCTTGTCATTTTGGCTGTAATTCAAAGTATTATTATTCTAAGTTCAATACTTCTCTGGAAAGGATACTGTACATTAAAGGAAGTTATGATAACCGCACAGCCTTGCAATAATAATGTTATATGAAAAACTTCACTAATTTTTGAATACCAAAGCATAATTTTAAAATACCATATACTATCAATAATTAAAATCCCATTCTAATTTTATATATTATCCAAAATTCAAAGGTAACCAACATACATTGACATATACATTCAGAATAAGGGCCATATAAATTACATAAACTTGAACCTTTGAGAAATATTCAGTCACTTTAATGACATTGTGCACAGTATATATAAGTTTTACAAATAGAAAGTTTGAATGCTGTTCCGTTTTCAATATTCATATTGTAATCATTAAGTATCGAATACAGTTTTGATTTCAATTACTATAATTTTAGCAGCTTTTATATATGCATTTTTATTTTGTTTTAAAGAGCATTTGGCTATATTTTGAATTTTATGTGATCTTTCTCTATACATGAGAGCCAGTTCAGTCTGGTGGTTAAAGCATCTGGCTAAAGGCTAGGAGATTGTGAGTTCTAGTCCTGCCTTAGGCATGAAAAACCAGAGCCAGTCACTCTCTCTTAGTCCAACTCACCTCACAGGGTTGTGGTTGTGGAGAAAATAAGAGGAGGAAGGAGAATTGTGTGTGTTTGCCACGAGTTATTTATAAAAATAATAAAGGTGGGACATAAATAAAATTAAGCATTGCACTGATGAAGAACTTTGAAATCCATTGTACTTTCACCACCCAAAATAAATATCTTTTTAGCATCCTATAAAATTAGTTCTTTCATTCTGATATTTCATTCATTCTGTTTTGATTTCTTTGGTCTGGTTTATAATTTTTTCCTTGATTATCATCTCGTCTTAAATAGACAACCAAATAAAAATTACACTGTACTGGAGTTTATGACTAGTCAGAGTAATCATTTACTCTCTGTTGTCACTAGAAAGACTTTTTTCTTACAAAGGATATCAAAACAATCAAAAGTATGAAGTGGAAAACACTTGACATATAGTAACAGGAATATAGATTAAAGTATCTTTCAGTGTTTTCACAATTCATGGAGCTCTTCAGGACCGATGTGTAGCTATTCCTTACCTGTACAGCACTGTTAAGAAAGCAGCTGTTTTGTCCTGGTTCATTTAACAAGCCTTTGGTGGGAGCCAGGGACATCATACTTCCAGGCTGATATACTTTTCCAAGATTTCCTCCAGGTTTTTTCAAGAATTTTACCCATGCCATTATTTAGGAAACAAATATAGATTTATATAAAGGAAAAATATAAGTAATCTGAGCTAAACAAGGCAATTCAGACAGTAGCCTTTAAAAAATTATGGCACTGTGATCATGCTCCAAGTCTTCAGCTTGTACTTCAATAATGTGGTTATGCTCTATTTGGTTTATGAAAATAGTTTTTAAAATCTGGTCAAAATAGAGCATAAGAATATCAGAAATTCCGGTGAATAAAGTTGATGTAATCTGAAAAACTGTAAAAATACTTATTGATAATAGTCTTTTTTTTACATTCTAATGTAGTATCATTTTGTCAAAAGTTTCAAAAATACAATAGTTAACTATCAAAAATCAGATGTTCTTCGCTCGTATTGTATGCAGGGATTTTATGCTGATTCTTCTCCCTCAATATTGGAAATATATCACATTTCTTCTTCTGTGTCGCTGAAATAATTCTATGTAGACTTCATATCATCTTTCAAAGTCTGAAAAAAATGGGAGTGGGAATTACGATTATACACTTTTTCACCATTATAATCTTCTCTGCCTCCACCCAGAGAAAAAACTATTCAAGACGGAAACGGTATCAAGAGGCCTGCACCAAAGTAACAAAGCACATGAGCAACAGCCCCTGGGACAGACACTTTGCTTGATACCGCCTACTTAGTAAGCAAAAGAAGAAAGGGAGTGGCCAATAAGCATATAAATAAAAGTGCTGCTGGGAACAAAATGTCAAAAACATGCTTCAGGTTTTATGTTGCTGTTTGTTTCAGAGGACAGGATATTACCTAAACACTAGTAGATTTTTTTTTAATTCAATATTAATTTACTTCTCATACTTTCCTATCACAAATTGTGTTTAGATATAAAAACTTACAATCTCTCTCTCTCTCTCTCGCTCTCTCTCTCTCACACACACAGATTTTTACCTTGGGGAGTCTTTTGATTTCAGACCTTGTTTACTCACAGACTTGTGATTTGCTAGGAATGCTGTTTTATTACAACAAATACTTTTAATTTATTATCACATTGATTTAAGTAACACTATGATTTCACATGAAATGTCTGATATATAGTAAATGTTGTTTTAGTAACAGGGCTTAATTCTGTTTCAGGGGAAAATATTAAACATTATTTAATAGTCAAAGGTAACCACTATTTTTTAAAAGAACCACTGCAGCTACAGTTTAATTTTATACAGTACTTTGAGTGCTTCAGAGAAGAAAGCTATTAGCCTTTAATAAAGATACTGTAGGTTCATCAGAAAGAACCTTGTGTTTTCATGACACTGACTTAATAAACAGAGATATGAATTCATACAAGAAACACTAACTAAATTGCCAGACATGTGATTTCATATCACATAGACTGATTTAATTGGCAAAGATGCATGACTCTCTCTCTCATTTAACAAACACTGGTTTATTGGGAATGAGTTTTGCAATTTTGGAAAAGTTCTTGTTTGTCACTTTTTTTTTCTTCAGAGAATTTTGTTAGAAGCAAATCACTTAGGATTAGTTTATTGGGGTGGGGAACTAGTAACTTAGTTAGAAACATTAGTTTACCAAGCTACAGACTTATATGTTTATATCATATGAAGAATATTATAGTATTATTGGACTAGAATCTCATACTTTTGTGCCATAAACAGTAGTATAGCAAGGCAGAAATCAAATTGTTATTTCAATTTCTGCCAATTTGTCACAAAGAAAGAGAAAAAAATGTGTGTGAGAGAAATTATATAACAAAAGATTATTTAACAAGCAGATATACCTTATTAGGGGAAGAAATGTCAGGAGGTCAACTTTCATTGTTTGACAAATTTAATATTTGAATTTTATTCTATTAAGATGATGACAAATCTCAGTTGATGTGGTTGAAGAAAATAGAAAGCCGCATGCTTGGTTTATAGAACATCTAATCAATAAATGAGTGATTTGCAAAATCAGTGGGATATCACTATTTTAATTCTTGAGATTAAGGCAGGACCAGATATTTAAGAAAAGATGCTACTAATCTACAATCAATTAAGATACATTTTCAATGTCAATAATATTGTGAGTGTGGTTTGACCTGAATGACAGAACTGTTACCAGAGGTAGGAAACTTTGAATCCATAAACACTGGTTGACAAGTGGCAGAGACTTCTGATTTTTTTTTTACAAGTAATGGCATATAAGGAGAATTATAACAGAAAGTGGTTTGTAAAGAGCAAAGGATATTGATTTTGAAACTTCCTCAGGTTCAGTCAGCCCTATTGGTAGTGACTAAAGAAATTGTTTGAGATATGTGCAGTACATATTTTAAAGGAACAAAAATAAATAAATTCAGGAAAGTACAGTTCATTATACTGTATTATTTCAATAGTTTATGGGTTTGTATATTGTCTTTATAATTATTGTTCATCACCAATACTTATGTATTTAAGATGGATGGTTGTATGAATAGTCTAAATAAATAAAACAGTATGGTTTAATTACATAATAATCCCATCCATGGGCTTCAAAAGTTAAAATATGGAAACCTTAATATAAAGCAAATGTGCAAGGCTAAATATTGAAGACACAAAATGCACCCGTAGCTTCCAAATGAAGGCTTTTGTATGATCTACATATTATTTTTCTTAAGATATGAGGATATGTAGAAGAGAATGAATAAAAATGATTTTTTTGAAAATGGTTTTAACATGGTATAATTTAGGATTCAGAGAAGTAATTGAACTATATTTTTACCTACTGTATATACAGTTATACCAATATTTATTCATAGCATTTGTTTACTGTCTATAAAATGATTAAAGAATTGGCCCAGCTTCCTCTTTTCTCTGGATAATGTACTACAAGGATAATTCTGCAACAATGACTTAATAACAAAGAAATCTAGAAAAAATGTGCAGAATACTAAGAATCTTTTTTATAATCAGCAAACTAAAAATGCTGGTCAGCTTTTAGAACTGAATTATGTAAATTGTTCTGATTCAAAGAGGTTTGTAAATTTACACAAAACCAATAAAAGCAATTTGTAACCTATCTAAACACAAGAAATTGGGAGAAGACTGTTCCAAAACATATAAAGATAACGATGTATTATTATGCTCTTTTATCAAAGCATACTATTAAAAAAACAGTAAGAAAATAATAATTAAAAATCAGTCCAATGAAATTGCTCAGAATCAAATAAAATTGAGACAGATCCAGTCCCATATACATGTTTTGGATAAAAATGTTAATGATGGCAGACAGTGGAAAAAAGGCAAAGCTGTTATTAGAGTTGCCTAATAGTCAAAAGACAAAGGAAAGCAAGGCATGGGAGAAGTGAGTAAATTGGTCAGCTGCGATAAAGGAAAGCACCAGAAAGATGAGAGGAATAAGCAAATGGTCAGTATGAAGCAGGGGTCTTCAAACTTGGCCCTTTTATGACTTGTGAACTTCAACTCCCAGAATTCCTCAGCCAGGCACACTGGCTGAGGAATTCTGGGAGTTGAAGTCCACAAGTCATGAAGACCCCTGGTATAGAGGATTATAGGGAAGGAATTCAATAATTGTTAAGTAAACATCAGCTTAGACTAGATACACAAGAAGGGTCAACGAAAAAACTCCAAATTGTCCCACCACCTTGACTATATTTAGTATAAAACAGGTAGAAGATGTGTGTGTCCTTTTTAATATCTTGTAACAATAGACTTCTAATAGTGCATATCATCTACGAGTATTCTATCTCAAAGGGCTGACAGTCAGGTAGGCTATACTTAATTCAAATTAAGAACTAATGGGAGATGAAGGGAAGGGAGGTTTGTGTGTGCTTATTGCATGTAATTAATCACAAAAGTAATAAAAAAATTTAAGACATTCTAGTCTTTAAGTTCTTATTCGGAGAGAATGTATTCTTTTGTTCACAAGTTATATCCTTCATTTTTTAAAATACTGCTGAATTAATTCCTAGAACAAAGTCAGTGATCTATTCATCTAGTTACTGGTTAAGAATGCATATGCAAGAAGCTTATTCTTAAATATCAATATTTCAAGTTATTGCAGGATTCAGTTATAATTCCTATGGTAATCTCATAAATATTTTATATGATTATGACTGACGTACAGTCAGACCAGTATTTTTCTACATACTATATTAAAACATAAACAAAAACCTAAATGCTTACCAGGTTCTATTTGGTTCTACTACATTTTTTAAAATTTTAACTGATTCTAAACTGTGGGGTATAGTGTTTTCTAACATGAGCTGATCTAAACAGCAAAGAATTATTTTAGGTTGCAAAGAACAGCTATAGTTATATCATGATGGTATTGGAAAAAAGCTTAAGACCTTTTGAGTCTTTGGTTGTATTTTTATCCATTCTTTCATTCCATGGAAGACAAGAAAGAGAAAGAATACCGTAACTCAAGGAATGAAAGAACTTACACAAATGAAGTGAGGGGAGAGATCTGAGTCTCCCCAAATTATGACTGGAATTATTCAGATGGTATATTATTGGTATTAAACAGACTATTCCTCAGAAGGCTTGGAAGAAATATTTTGTATCACAGCAGTTAATTTTCATTAGGAAGGCTTGAAAAGTCAAAAGAGAATTCCTTAAATGAAGATCTTGGATAAAGAGCTGTTTACTGTAGAAAGAGAAGGTGTTGAAGTAGAGGTTTTTAAACCACTCAGTAAAAAAAACATATACTGTATGATTATTGATATGTCTATACACTTAATGTTTAAAGGTAAATGTTTCCCTATTCCAGTCATGTCTGACTCTAGGGGGCAGTGTTCGTTTCCTAGCCAAAGGATGCAGCTTGTCTGAAGATGCTTCTGTGGTCATGTAGCCAGCATGATTATATGCCTAGGTGCACAGAGCACTGTTACCTTCCCACCAAAGAGTTACCTATTTATCTACTTGCATTTGCATGCTTTCAAATTGCTAGGTTAGCAGGAGATGGGGCAAGAATGGGAGCTCACACAGTATTTGTGATTCGAACTATCAATCTTTCAGTTGAGAAACCCGGCTTCTCAACCATTAGGCCAGTGTGCCCCCCTACACTAATGTTTACAATATGAGAAATATGATGACTTTAGGTTTTGCTACAGAACATAAATATAATAATTGAAACTTGGCAGAATGTTTTTCATGACTAGATTAGAGCAACAAAAATTTGTTCAGAAGGAACAGAAACAGTAGAAATAG